GCAGTGATATGATTTGTCCAAGCCACACTGGTATTTAAGAGCATCCTTTATAGCTCAGTGGCTATTTTAACAGGGATTTTTGCCAGCACTTGGAACGCCAGGACTTCCTGGGTGCCTAGATGACTTGGAGCTATGTTACCACTGCATATGTTCCACATACCCCCAAACACCAGTGACAGGAGATGCACGGTAGATATGCTCTGCTCAGCGGTCTGTGAATAGGTACAGGTAAACGCTGAACTGTTCAAAAGGCCTGAGGAGTAAGAAAGGATTAGACGTTGCCTGACCACTTCAGGAATGAAAACCTTACGGTTATCATGAAAGCTGAGACGTGAGGGTGTCTGTGTGTGCACACGCGTGTTCAGGGTGAACGCACGATCAACAGGGAGCGAGCTGGTGAGGCCTCTCTCTTCTTCCTCCTCCCTGTGGCCTGACAAAGCCTGTCTTGGCCTGCAACCATTTGAGAAGACCCCATCACTTCCACGGGCCTCCCACCCGGGTGGGAGCGGGGAGTCATTCATCATTGTCAGGGCATGTGCTGGACACAGCAGGGCCGGCTTTCTCCCCTGCTGTTCCTGCAGCGAGAGCTGCAAATCTTGAAAAGATGCAGAACATGCACATTGCAAATAACCATTCATCGTCCTGGCTCTGCAGGCCATGGGAGAGGCCCCTCCCCACACGGCCGACCCACTCCGACTTCAGCGGGAACGCCAGGTCTTCCCGGGTGCCTAATCCCCGCCCCAGCCAATCCTCCTCTTGGATAATCTACTGAGGTTTGCGGTTAAAATTCTCTGAAATGATAACCAAGCCCCGCCTTCCTCTGCAAAGTCGGATTTTCCGATTGCTTTCAATAATCAGACTGCTGCTGCCAAGGTGGCCCGTAATTATTAAATTATGAACATACAAGTTGCTGGGAGGAAATGAATACCAGCTTTCACTAGGGAAAGGCCTGCTTTCTTGTGAAGTAATTATGAAATGAAAATGTGATATTTCTCTGGAGAGTCTAAAAAGCCTCCTGCCGCGGCCCGTGGCACAACAGTAATGTCGGGATCTGCGCTGGGGCCGGACTGAGAAATCCTTCTGTGCCCCCAAAATGCCAGTCAGGGACATCAGCAGGTAAATTTCCAAAGATCAGGGTAAGCGTGATTAGCAAAAGGAAGTACCGAGTTTGGATTTTTCAGTTACTCTTTAAAACTCAAGAGACAAACTGTTAGGAAGTGTAGGCCGTCCAACTAAGACTATTAATCCCAAGCTAATTAGACTCACAGGCATGGTCAGCGTATACATTTTGGCCCCAAAGGGGGCCACTGTCCCTCTAAAAGCTGCCTGGAGACCACGGGAAAAGCTAACGAGGAGCATCAGAGGCGCTGCTTTGTCGGATGGTCTTGGGAGGGTAAAGCCCGGGTTTCTGTAACAGGGCTTCTGTGCTTGAGTCAATAAATCAATTTATGTTAAATGCAGGTGCAGCTCTGGAGCCGGCTTCAGAGGGCATTCTGCGGTGTTTCTCAGGTTGCTCATCCACTCACCTGTCACCCCGCCGGGACGTGCTGTCAGAGGGCCGCGCGGAGAGCAATAAAGAGGAAGTTAGACGCTCTGTGGGTATTTATAAAACCTGACCCGGCAGCGCCAAACCACGCTTGGGGCCGCCGCCAGGGAGTCCCTCTCCCCACAGAACCTCCGGCTGGTTGATAAGACGCCCAGGGCTCCGGGGCTGCGCCGCACCCCCCCCCCCACTCCCCGCCAGCCAGGCTCAGGGCCGCAGACGGAGGCTAAAGGTCACCCAGGCAGAGTGGGAAGGCTTGGAAGTGCAGCTGCTTTTTAATCACCTTCTCTCGGTCCAAAATACTCCCCACGAAGTACAAGGAAAAGCAAGAGGAACAGAAGTGGCGACAGCTGGTACCAGTCCAGGAGGCAGAGGGCCGGAGTGGTGAGGGGGCTGCGGGCCGGGCTGGGGAGCTGCGGGGTGGGTGTTGCCCTGGGGAGATAAACTGGGATTTCTTCAGGGTGGCAGCAGGCTGCAGCTTCTCTGCTGTCCAGTGCGGGACAGCTGGGGGTGAGGCCCATCATTCCTGGACACAAGGACTGATGGCCCGAAGATCTACCTGAAGGTGGGGTGCCGCCATCCCCAGCTGACTCAGCGTGGCCCACACTGTTTGCTTTCCTGCCCGTGCTTGTCCTTTCCGAAACCGTGTGCCGCTGAGATATTCAGGCACAGGCAGCTCCCTGCGCCGGCTCCCCGCCCCCGCCGGACGCTCACTCTGTTACCTGCACCTGGCCGAACTGCCTGTGATCGCTGTGACTTGGGAAATGAGATTTTTATTTTCTTTCATTTTAACTGAAATTGAGATGGCCACGAGCGGTTAGCGGCTGCTGCGCCACAGAGCGTCGAAAATGGAAAAGGTTTCCTTCGCCTCCGTCAGAGCAGGGGAGCGCTGAGAACAGAAAATGGGCGCTGACAGCCCTCTTCTCCGTGGAAGATCCCCCAATTTGTCCATAGTTTTCAGGGAAACAAAGGAGGTGAAAATCATCCTGACACATCCTGAAGTCAGAATCATAAAAAGTTAAGGGCTTCGAGAGACAGAAGTAAAAGTTTACCATCCCTAGACCCTTTCTAGGGGAATCTCTCTTTCCCGGAAACCCTAAAAGGGCAGACAAAGCCCACTCCCGACCCGACGCAGAGGTCGGCAGCAATGGTCAAAGGAAGCGTTTCACAAACGAGAGACTTGGGCAGAGTGAAGTATCAAGAGGCCCATTGCCAAAGCAGCGCTCTTTCCTAAGGGAGCCGTGCCAGCTAAGTCCCCAGACCAGCCTGGCTCTTGAAGCAAGCCCATCACAAAGGCTAGAGAGGCTCTGCTCAGCGGAAGAGTTCTGGTGCACACTGCTCCTAACCAGCACCATCTGGATGCAATCTCACATTCACATGATGGATTTTTCTTCCTTGGCCCCTTCCTTTCTCCACAAATCCCAGCAGCCCAGGAACAGCTGCCGGAGATCCTGGCCTGAAGCCAGGGGTGAAATCACAGCCCCCTCCCACACCAGTGTCATCCTGGGCCCCTGCCTGGCTCATCGCCCCATGTGGCTGGACACGGGGCACGAAGAACACGGATCCTACATGAGAAAGCAAAACCGCCAGCAGCCACAGGAGCAGGGACTTGGTGCCACAAAGCCAGCTGTGAGAAACTGTGTCAAGTCAGTAACGGCGGGGGCTTGCCAGCAAATTACGGCCTGAGACAGCTCAGAGGGCGGTGGGTCGGGACACTGAGCTCTCGGGATGACACGATGCCAGCTACAGTGTGACTCTTGCCATAGCAGCTCCACACAAAGGTCTGGGGCGGGGGGCACCAGCCTGGGGATTCTGGCACCAGGACGACGACAGCAGACATTGAAGGTGAGCGCAGCGTGGGTGATGGGAGCGCAAGGGAAGGCCACACCAGGGACCAGCTCAGCGCTGGGCACAGACAAAGGCTTTATGAACCAAGCCACCGAGCAAACTATCCAAGGAGCGGGGGAGGGAGGTGGGGGAGGCTGGGGAAGAGACCAATTGCATTATGATGGGCCTGGTGACAATAACCTTTTGTCCCCTACACAATCTGGGCCTGCCAAGCTGCTCCGCAGTCTCCGAGAAAGCATTAGGGCAGGAGAGAAAGAATCCTGTCAGGAGGCAACAGACTCATCCTTAATTATGAGACAAGGCTTCCCAGAGCTGACATCCTCTGCCACACTTCCTCCCTGCCGCAAACGCACCACGGAGTGCTGGCCTGCTGCTCCTCTAATGAATGCAGTTGATTCTCCTAAGCATAGGAAGCTTGGTTCTTTGGGGGATCTTCTCCTACCATCCCAGGCCCAAAGCATGCACACTCTTGGGGTGAAACATCACGGTTGTCTACTGCGTCACACTGGGAGCTAGGAAGCCTCGCTGCTCCTCACAGGCTTGATTCCACCCTTCTGCTCCCTAGAGGAGTGTCAAGGAGATACCAATCCTAGTGGATAGAGGTCCTTTGCTTGCATTTACACAGAGCTCAAAACGGAGTAATGATGTCCGGTCTCACCCTGAAGAAAATGTCACTGGCACACAGCAGCAGCAGGAGCCCTGAAATCAGAGTTGGAACCCTGGGTTCTAGTTCTTATTTTGACACTGGGGCGTGCACTCTCTGAGCCTCTGTTTGCTCACCTGCACAATGGGAAGAAGGAAGAAGCACTCCCTCGTTTGCAGTTCAGTACAGGAGCCAAGAGAGCATGCCCGAAGTTACGCCGCCTGGTTGGTTCTCCTCTGACTGGTTATGAAACCCCGCACAATTCAGCCTCCGCGCCGCAGTGCCCTCACCTGTACAGTATGCCTACCTCACAGGGATGTTTTAAGAGTTAAACACGAGGAGTTAGGAGAAGCTTTCATTGTAGCGTCTGGCTCATAGCTCTTCCAATAACTGTCAGCTGGCCCCGTTACACCCGTGATTAATGGGGCTGGGGTAAAAAAATCTCCACAACTAGGAATTTATTTGAAGGATCAAACAACAGGGAAGTAGGGGACCCTTTGTTAGACAGGCTTCCAGGAAGTGAGTCGACAGCCCAAGGCAACACTGAAGGCAAATATAAAGGAGGGGCTAGGTAAGGTCTTACGTGCAGCCTTGAGCAAGACATGCTCCAAATGCTCATCGATCCTGCAACTGGTGCTAAGAACGGGGTAGTAACTCAAGGCTTTTATGGGAAGAACGCTACGGATCCTCACTTCTCCTTCTCCAGAAAATTAATCTTCCAGTCCTTCTCTTCCACGGACAACTAAGAAAGGCAACTACACCCCTGCTCAGTCTGAGGTCTTCTGTTGGAGGGTAAAAATATTTAAAAGAGAAATTCATTCACGTTGTGGTTGGAGTTTACACAGGCCCTGGTCTAAACTGTTTTTTTTTTTTTTTTGGTTTTTCTCCGGTACCGGGAACCGAACCCACGACCTTGCGCTTGCCAGGCAGGCGCTTTTGCCGCTGAGCTAAATCCCCAGCCTAAACTGTTTTTAAACTTTATCAGGTTCTTCTAACCAAGATATAAAGGGCTTTCCTTCTCCATAACTTTTGTTTTCAAACCAAAATAAAGTCAGGTAGGAAATGCACAAAGGCGTACATAAATCTCAGCTAGTAGCCAACCCTGTGAGCCAACAGCCGTTTTGGGAATTACTCTGAAAACAAATCAAATCATGGCTGACTGCAGCCATTCTCAACCTTAGCTCCTCAATGATTTAGCACCTTCTGTGAAGGTCCACACAATTAAAAGCAGCCTGTTTATGGACTGCTTATCTGCACAGGACCAGGCTGAAAAAGAGAGAGAGGGAGAGAGAGAGAGAGACCGACAGACAGACAGACAGACACAGTGTGAGAGAGAAAGATGTACCCAGGGTGGGAGGCAGAGAAAATGTGTATAAAAGTTGGATGTGATTCAGTTCCTCAACTTGTCTACCTTTAAAAAAAATTACAAAATAAGGGCAATTTTTACCATTTGTTAAAGAGAAAGATGTACAAGCCACTTATAAAAAGAGTAGAGCTTCAAGAGACTGAAAAAAAGGGACATAAAACCAGCGTCTTATTGCGCAGTTTGAGCGGGATGTTTACAGCCTTTGAAAGCATCTTGCCCATCAAAGGGACGATGCCTGTCGTCTCCTCAGGAGGGCTCTCCAACGCTAGTCGCCGTAGGTTGCGCTTCCCTTCCCCTAGGAACTGATAGGAAGAACTGCAGCAGGGACGGTCCTCCTACGACAGCACCCTATGCACGGTAGTTCTCAGCTTGTGTTCACTGCTTACATCTCCTTTGCCTTCGGGCACAGAACGAACAGCCTTGCCTCCAGCGCAGGTCTCCAGGACACGCTAATCGCTGCTGCTCTCCTTGCCGGCTGTCCGCGACACTGACCCCGCCCCTTTCTGTCGATTACATCCCTCTGCCTTCAGCTTCTACAGAATTGCTGCCTATCCACTCTGTGTCAGCACAGGACGACCGTCGTGTTCCCTCATGGAGTTTACGGAACAAACGAGGAGGCCTATTTACATAGGTAATTGGAGCCATGGATGACTTATTTCTGCTACTTATTCCTGGCCTAAATCATTTTGTTTCTTTTACTTTCTTTTTTTTTTTTTTTTAAAACTGTTTTCTGGTTCTGTCCCTCTGTTTAGCCCTTGAGACCTCTCATATGTATTTCTGGTAGCTTTCCCCTGGATACCTGAATTTGCTTTCTGCAGTGAGTATTCTTCAAACTTAAGATAGCTTTCCAAAAGCATTGCTTCCGTGGCTGGGGATTTAGCTCAGCGGCAAAAGCGCCTGCCTGGCAAGCGTAAGGTCGTGAGTTCGGTTCCCGGTACCAGAGAAAAACCAAAAAAAAAAAAAAACATTGCTTCCATTTAATTCCCCTTTTCAGGAATAGAACAGAGTAACCTACGCTTCCCACAGTAAATCTAAACTTCTTCGCCTGGCTTCCCGGGTGCCCTGTTAACGTTCCCTCAGCACAAGCTCGTGTGTTTCCCACGGCCTCTCCTCTTACACCGAGCCGTCTTCCTCACTGTCTTTTCAGGTCTGCTCTTTAAACAAAGAAGCATGTACAACCCATGGATTTGAGCCGGGTGTTGAGGCCCACCCTTTCAGCCCCAGGTACTCAGAAGGCTGAAGCGGGAAGATTTCCTTACTTGAGCACCTGAGTTTAAGACCAACCTGAGCAACATTGCAAGGACTCTCCATCAATCAATAAAAATCCCCAAACAACGGAGGGTTTCTTAAGCTTCTTTCTTTCTAAGTGCTACAACACCCAGACCAAAGCCCCACTCTGGGTTTTTGAATTATACTGGCTGTTATTTTCCTTCTTCAAGAAGTGTTTATTTTGCCAGCTGAATGCAAACGGATTTAAAAGAAAACCCAGGGCTGGGCATACAGCTCAGCGGCACAAGCGCCTTCCTGGCAAGTGCAAGGTCCTGAGTTCGATTCCTGGTACCAAAAGAAAAAAAAAAGGAAAGAAAAGAAAAAGAAAAGAAGACCCAGCCATGGTTAAAATAATTACTATAATTAATAAAATAATTTAGGGCCTAAAGACTCAGTGGTAAATGTGGGGAGCCTTTTCTGATACATTCATCCGTGTCTCAGAGCATGGGCAAATATCAGACTCGGAGGCCGCACAGACTGCTGCGCTCCTCAGCTGCGCTACCGTCCTGTGCAGGCACACACAGACCAAATGGAGAGAAATAGATAGGGCCGCATTTAAAAATTATCTTTTGGCACAGATGGTGGGAGGAATCTGGCTCTCTAACCATCGCTGGCTGGCCACATGCTGGAGGAAAAAGAATGGGGCCAGGTGAGGACTGGCTTTTTCAGCTGGCAGAAGACAACCCGAAGCCCCCTAGGTCAGCATCTTGCTTTTTCTGGGTAGGCCTACTTTCTTTAGGACGGCATGCACCGCAGAAGCGGTCCCTGCGTAGTCAGCGCCATGGGAATCTGGCCTCTGACCATCTGTTTCACCTATTCTGGTCAACAGAGAAGAGATCATGAAAGCTACGGCTCTGCCTTGGTTGCAGACATGGTGAGGGGAGAGTGAGCTGTCTCATGCTTCTACCATGCTCCAGACAGGCAAGGGCCACACTCATGAGGGTCCCAGGGCGTAACAGTCTGCTCTTCACCCACCCTTCCATGTGCAAGGCGCTGCTCTGTCACTATAATCCTCACGGCAACCCTCTAAGGTGAGCGCTTGTCATTACACCTGTTATTCAGATGGAAGAAAGGCAAGAGTTCTTAGTGTTAGCCAGGGGTCTGCTGCAGACGTGGGCTTGGTACGTATAGAGGTGGTTTTCAGAATTACACACACCACAGCAAGAGTTCTTATTTCATTTTGGTCTGCACGTAATAACATAAAATCTGCCTCCTATAGCCACAGGTTTCTCATCTGTGGATGTGATCAATTATGGATGGAAAATATGTGTTGAAAAAGTGTCTGTAAGGAATATGCCCCGGTCTTTTTCCATGACATTATTCCCTAAATGATACAGAATAACAACTGTTTACATTAGTATTTATAGTGTATTAAGTATCTTAAGTAATTTAAAGATGATTTAAAGTACACAGGGAGGAGGATGTACATAGGGTATATGCAGATACTGTATCATTTTATATAGGGGACTTGATCGAGCACCTCTGATTTTGGTATACGTAGGGGATCTTGGAACTAATTTCTTATGGATTCTAAGTGATGCTGTGACAAAAATCAACTCATTACCGCCAGTCTTTACAATGAACCTTCAAAGGGTGTATCTTTATTTTTCCCATTTATCCATGGAGAAATGGGCTCTAGAGGTCAAGCAGTTTAATCTAACTTTCGTCATTTATAAAAATCAAACTCAGGATTTCAACCCAAGCCGGTTTGGCTCAATAAATCCTTGGCAAATTCCTTCGAAACCCTCTACCTCTTTGATAACCCTGACCTAAGAACATAAAGCTCATTGAGTTTTAAAAGGCCCCAAATGACCACTGCATGCACAGTGAGGAATTAAGTCAGCTTTAAGGGCCTGGTGTTCCAGACGCAGGCCTCAGAGAAGCAGAAAGACAGACCAGCGCCTGCGATTTGAGAACTGGTCTTGCGCAGGAGCAGCAGAAGCGGGCACAGGGCCTTGGCCTTTGCCACAAGGACTCTGGCGCCTCTTTTGACCCCAGCAGCATTAAGTGGCTTCCCACACACGGAGGAAGGCGTGTTCTTACCAGCCTGTCATATTGAAGTCCCTGTACAGCATTTTCTTTCCGAGCTCCTTCCTCTGTACTCTCCTTGGGAACTCCAGATGTGTGAATTCATTTCCTAGCAAGTGAGGCTGCATGAATGCCTAATAGCAAAAAGAAGAAGAAGAGAAAAAGCCACATACATATTTAGAAGAAAAAATAAGACTCAGAGATGTTTTGCCAGTTGAGACAGGCCACGGTTCACAAACAAGAAAATCACCTCACATTTCAGGAGAAGTAGAGATTTCAAAATTTAAACATCAATAGATGAGCAAACACCGTGCACTTCATTAATAAAGGAATGCTACTTTTTTATTTGATATGCAGAACTATTTGCAATCAGAGATGCACATAGCTAAAGGCATAAGAAAAGAGAGACTGAGCTTCTCCAGAGTTCAGGTTTTAATTCAGATCGAGTACGGCGTTAGTTAGTTCCCTGAATGGCCTGTCGTGAGGCCAAAGGCGAGCAGGCGTGCCTTGACTTTGCTTGCTCCTCACTCATACTGCAGTCAGCCTGGCCCGGCCTCGGGAAGCCGCGTGTGAGTGTGCAGCAAACACGGGCCCGCGGCCGCAGGGTGGGGCTGGAGGCAGCGGACGGGAACATTCTGCTGGACGCCCTCCAGCTCGCTCTGCTGTCTTTGCTCCTGTCACTGGAAGCCGATTCCGGAGCAGATGGCTTTTTCCCTCCCCCCAGATCTCAGTTCATGCTACGAAAGTCTTAAGCAAGCAGCCACTTAGGGGATTGCTTTGAAACAACAAACAGTCTCACTGTTACACTCACAATTCAAACCTAAGAGACGGAAAGCTCGTGTTTTCACTGCCCCCTCAGAGGCCACACAGTCCGCATACCTGCCCCCGAATGTCCCACCTCCAACCCACGCTGGCGTCGCAGCAGTGTGGTGGAATGGCCCATCTCTCCTTTTTGGCAGGGAAAAAGAGTGGGCAGGGTCCATCCCAGCCTGGCACTGCAGGAAGGCAAAGGCTCCCTGTGACAGGACAGATGGCCACGTCCTCGGTTTATTGCCACTGCTTGAGGCTCCCTTATCAGAAATGCTTGGGATCAAAAGTGTTCAGAATTTTTCTTTAGTGTCTCCAAATACATAATGAGTTCTCTTGGAGATGGGAACTAAGTTTAAATATAAAATTCAGTTATACTTTAGAAACATCTTATACACACAGCCTGAAGGTAATTGGATACAATATCTTCACTGTACCTATGCTTTAACTATCACTTGTCACATGAGGTCTGGTGTGAAATTTTTCAGTTCTGGCATTATGTTAGAGCTCAGATAGAATCTGGGGGCATTTCAGAAGATTCTGGATTTTTGTGTTAGGAATGCTCAACCTGTAAGAGACAGCCTCCACAGTCCGTTTCCCACGAGCCGATGCCAGCAGGTGTCCAACTGGTGCTCATGGTAGTCTGGAGGTGCTAGTTAGACATTAGTTCTCCGACGCTAAGTTTATCAGCAGCCAAAGGAAGCGAGCTGAATTGTTACCAGGTGGTCACATTTGGCCAGAGATGTAACAGGAAGGCAGTCGTTATGGACAGGCTTGGGGACAGGGCACGACGGGATGACACAGCCTGGTGGGAATTCTGGATCTCTTGGAGGGGCTCTGAAACTCTGTGAGGGCATTACACTTGGGCTGCTGTGGAATATGAAGGAAGCTTAAACACTGGTCTTCAAGAAGCTTGCTGTGAAAGGAAGGAAGGAAGGAAGAAACGATGGGAATGAATACATAATAGCAGAAATCACCCATCCAAATACTAACCAGGTCCAACCCTGCTTAGCTTCTGAGATCAGGTGAGATGTGGTAAATTCAGGGCAGTATGGGTGTAGCAAAGAAATAAGATGTGTTATGTGCATGTACCAACTCACCACGGGGAATGTAATCATTATGTACTGCAATCATATACTAATAAAAAATAAATTTAAAAAATGAAAATAAAAGGTGTAAGCCAATGGTGAGGCCTTTGTGTGAGACTTCAGTCGGTGCCCAAGTTCTGCATTTATAAACTGTGTGACTTTTGCAGGTAATTTAATTCCCTGGGTCTCAGTTTCCTTACCTGTGAAATAAGATTAATTATATATCTCATACACTATTTTTGTAATTAAACACCTCTAGTGCACTGATCATGGTTATCTTTGCTCGTAAAATAGCTATTATATCCATTTAATGATTATTGAATCCTATTACATCCTGAGTACCATGCTCAAGGCCTTCTGAGTTCTCATTTCACCCTTCAACAAATTTATGGACAGGAATAGTTACTTAATTTGTGGGGCTTGGTGCAAAATGAAAGTGTGGAGCCTCTAGTGAAAATTAAGAATTCTAAGACAGGGACAGCAGTGCATTAAAGTTAGCATAAGACCCTGTGTAAGTGTGTCAGTTACACCCCCATGAAACCAGCCATGCCAAAAGGGTAGATAGTATTTTAGTCCTCTTTTATTTTGGTCCATCAAGAAAAACTAAGGAACAGAAGTTTAGTTGTCAACACACAGTGCAATCTGTCACGTATTCTTTATCATCTTTTACAATGCTGAGGCTCTATCAGCATGGAGGCTTTTGGTTTCCACTTGCAACCGGACTGATGCTGAGGTAGGGTGCTGTATATGAGTACTGGGTATGTATCTTACCTTACTCATCCAGCAATGCTACAAAGCCCATGTCTTAGACTCAACTTACAAACAAGGAAAGTAAATTCCAGAAAGGTTAAAACACCAAGCCCAACACCTAGGACTGGGTAGGTGTAGGAGCCTGAGCTTAGCATTTCACTCAACACACCCATCCTATCCTATGTTAGCTTTTCAACCCCCACCTGAAAGAGAAGCACTAGGACGCCTTCGGCTGTTCTGTATGGGAGATTCTGATCAGAACTCAGAAGACCAGGAGGCTGACAGAAATCCTGCTGGTAAAGACCAGGTTTGGGAGGTTTCTGCTGCAAAGAACTGCATTGATTGTTGAACTCCAGAAACTTTGCCTGAAACTGAGATTAAGGGTGGTGGACTCATTAATCTGGCAAAAGAAATTGCAAGGCAGTCCAGTGTTGAGGCAGTGGCATGGCTATTCTTGGGGGCTTTTAGTCAGATTTACGTTGAGAATCAAGAGCAAAGTGCCCAGCAGGATGACTTAAAACATTGTGAGTCTGGCCAGGAAAAAAGCTCCAGTGGACTGCAAAGATAGAGCTGAAGAGATCTCTATTGCTGAGAAGGAACACGAGAATAGAAAGATGGCCTGAGGGTATCACTAGGAGCAGCAAGTCTCCCCTCTCTGCAGCCTCAAACCTGCAAAAGTGAAAGACTTTGCTTTGAGGAGAAAGCCCCAGAACTCCATGTTCCAGAATGGCGGCAGCAGCTGTACCAGGTTCCAGAATGGCGGCAGCATAGAGAATCTGTTCCTCAGAATCGGATTCAGAGTGCCCAGCGATCCAGGCACTCGACTCCTATGGCCAAGAGAGAGGAAAGCCTGGCTACTGCTCCAGGTTGCAGCAGACCTTGGCATCATCTACATGGCACTGGATTTAGGTGCATAAAAATGCAAGAGTTCTAAGGTTAAGAAGGCCTCCACCTGGATTTCAGAAGGTCTGGGTAGCCTGAGACAGCAGTGTGTAAAGCTGTGAGTGAGAATCCTAAAAGTGCAGTGGAGACCTCAGAAGGTTGGAAAAGCCAGAAACGTGGTTTGTCTGAGGAAAGCTGCAAGGAAAGAGCAAAGCAGGCCCAAGAGAGCCCTAGGAACTTCAACCACCAGAAGTGCCATAGGGGTGGAGCCACATAAGGCCTCTGGAGCTCACAATTTATCACAGATTGTTTCAGATGTTCCACATGGAACTACAGGACATAATGTTAGCCCTGCTGGATTTTGGACTTGCTTTGCTTTGTATCCCTGTTTGTACCTTTATGAATGGTCATGTGTATCTTGTGCCATTGAATATTAGAAGTGTCTAACTTTGTTTTCATTTGCAGAGGGGCTCACAGCTAAGAGTTTGCCTTACATCTTGGAGGAGAATTGGGACTTGGACTATCCAGCAGTGCTGAAACTGTTAGGACTTTGGCAATTCTTTAGAGATGGACTAAAATGTCTTTTGCATACAAGGATGTACATGAGTCTTTGGGGGTCCAGGGGTGGAATGTTATGGTTTGTGTCTGGATGTCCCCCACCAAAGCCTCATGCAGTCATGGGGCGAGCTTCTAGAGTTTATGATTGATTCATGATCGAGTGCTGGGATTATGGATGTGAGTGCTACACCCACCCTGGGGCAGGTCACCTACATACAATATAAAGGACAGAAAGAGTCTTCTCTCTTGCTCCTCCCTTTTGCTCTTGTTGCTTTTTGCTATCTTCTGCCACCATGAACGGTTGCCCTCTGCCATGTGCCACCCTGCCTCGGAGCCAGCTGAGTATGGACTAAAACCTCCACAAACTGTAAGCTAAATAAACCTTTCCTTCTTTAATTTGGGCATTGGCTATTTTGTCTCAGCAGTGAGAGAAAGGTAATGAAGACACTTACAAAAAATAGGAAGGGCCACAAAAGGCCTGTGACTTTTTTGTCCTGGACTGTAAAATCTGAATCAACACACTCAGCTAAAAATAAATTAATACACATATCTGCACTCAGCATGGTTATAGGGATGTTTCTGACATTATGTGTAATAGTAAAAATCTAAAAGAAATCATTTAATACTTACATGAGTGAATAAATATAGCATAAATTCATGCAAAGGAACCCTATGCTATCATTTAGAATATAATGTACAGAATATGCAATGACACACAGGACTGACTGAATTATAAAAATCAGGTATGTGTGAGTGTATAAGGTTACATGTGATGTGTCATATGCACAGATCTATATATGACATATGAATGTACATATAACTATGTGCGACAGTCTGAGTGTATCTTCAAATTCACGTGTTGGAAATAATCCCCAGTGCAATCTTTTTGAAGGTATTGAGGTCATGCGGGCTCTGCACTCATAACTGATTAAGGCTGCCATAAAAAGGGCTTGTGGGAGTGGACTTACTGCCTCTTTCCCTTCTGCCTTCCACCCTGTGAAAATGGAGTGAGAAGACCCACACTGGAGGTGGGGGCCTTGACCTTGGAC